CCCGCATCTCTAATCCATTCATATATTAACTTACATGAAATATAAGGGGTCATTCGGTCGTAATGTGATAGCAATAACAAAGTGCTTGGTAACTTAGTAGCCTAGTTTATAGGCACCTAGACCACCTACGTACGGTAATGGCTCGACCATTTCAACCAGGAGTCAACTTTTCAGATATGTAATTTTGGAATCATTTTATTGTATATATCGAAAAATATAAAACTAAAAGGTAGACTACTTTTCTATTGTTTTGCTCCCAATCAGCATTGAATGTTCTAATTTTAAGAATTTAAAATTTAGAATGGCCTCTCAGTGACATTCATTGACATTCATTGCGAGACCATTAAAGGAATACGCGGTTTTCCTTTCATGTAGGTCCGCCATATTTAGGTCTCGGCCTTGCTAGACCTCGGCTTATCTCGATGTGAATGCTCTCATATATGTAATAAACATTTTTTTTTTTCAGATCCCAATTAAACGGCCGGTTTTCATTATTGGCCCCTGTCGTACTGGAACTACTTTCCTCCAAAACCTCTTATTCTGCGATCCGCAGAATACATGCCTCAAGTTTTATGAACTTTTGCAACCAGTTGCAGATGTTGCTACCGTCACCGAGGACCCACGAATTTTGAAAACTACACAAAGATTAGGCACGTAACAATAATTGTAGTGACTTACAATGAGTCTAAGTAATTGTAACATATTGGATGATTGTCATTTTGTACGACTGAGCTATAAAACAGCTCTCTATAGCTTATGTGTACACAAATAACAGATATTTGAGTTTGCATTTAATCCGTAGGATATTTTGATGGCATTAAAACCACAAGACATTTTGCCTCAGTATCTTAGCTGTTAACCTTTTTTTTATATGTTAGTCACAAGTGATATTTGTAGGATATTTTGATTGCATTAAAACCACAAGACATTTTGCATCAGTGTCTTAGCTTTAAACCTCTCCCATATGTTAGTCACAAGTGAAATTTGTAGGATATTTTGATGGCATTAAAACCACAAGACATTTTGCATCAGTGTTTTAGCTTTTAACCTCTTTTATGTGTTAGTCACAATTGGATTCAGGTGTTGAAAACAAGGCAGCAATGCTTTCAATACTACAGACACAGAGCAGAAAATGAGGATGCTAATGACAAAGTTTTTGTCGATTCTGGTGCAATACTGCAAAAAGAGGCGTAATCGATCATTTATATGCTACAGGTAACAAGGACATTTTAGAACGTTAATATCATCGGGCTTAGTGTCACACATTGAAAATTCCTATATGTGAAAAATGACGAGAACACAAAAACATAAAGTTACATGATGGTTTACCGTGCCTCTGTAAAATTGCCTCCAATTTTCAATTATGAACTAAATGCAACGTGAACATGTCCTAACATAACTATTCATTATTTAGACACGATGTACGCCTCCAGACCGGATTTGGAAACTATCCACCCCCAGAAGGGTTTAGCTCCGGAAGGATATTTATTTCTATTCCATAACGTTGGTGTGTTCAAGAATTTTGTTTTTAAAAGCGGAAACTGTGAGACGTAGGCCTATATAAAATGGACGGAGACCCGGGCCAACGATGAAATGGTTGAAGCTTATTGTTTCCACAAACTGCAGACTCAGATTATACTTCATAGCAGAGGTGGGCCTTTTAACTGGTTTAAAGTTGCAAATAATTGCTTCGCTATATTCTGATGTATTAAAATTCATTAAAATGAATAGGCTATGCAAAGTTGTTTTTCCACATTTATAATCTATTGATTCGTTTTTAGTTTTGCGCCAAATCGAATTTTCGTCTTAAAAAGAGCAGTTATCACCTTTTCATTAGTCATAATTCAACCGGGCCCTTCATTTTTAAACAAATAACTTCTCGATTCATATAGACAGCTACAGGCATTTTAATTTTCGAGAAAAAGTTATCGATATCGTTTTTTTTTTTTTTTTGGAATGCTTATATATCTATTTGTATTGTTTGAATTGGAAATATTACTGATTTGCAGGATATTTGGAGATAAAACTGACACCTTGGAATATTTTTCACACTTGTGGAAATTATCCTTAAATACCATTCGCATGTTAGTATCATCAGATTTTGAAACCGAAACAATCATTTGCTTGTTAATTGATATAAATTCGTCCCGAATAAAGCTATATTTTCGTTATGTAAATGCATATCATCAAACTTCCCAATATTAGGGTTACACTGAAAGTGGGTAAAACTCGTCAGACACATCTAGGAAGAAGCAGGGGTATGGGTTTTATTGATTTTAAGTCCCCACAAGGTTTATTTCCCCTTAACTTTACTTTAAGAGGCGGGATTGCCTCTAATTCAAAGCCCCCTTTACCTTTTCTACGATCAAAAATGCGGCCAGGACGCTCAATGGTCGACAAAGCGATTTTAATTTAAAAATTGTGTTTCAGTGTAAATGCTTCTGCGTCTCTTGTGCGTCCTTTGTTCAACATGTTCAACACTTTAGGGGCGACCATGGCGTCCTCGGCGCAGCTTGAACGACCTTTGTGTGATCACCGTGCGTCCTTTGTGCGTCCGACGGCGACCAGTTGACCAGTTTCGTGATGGTACATAAGCCTCAGAAAGGACGCCGCCCAGTGAAAAGTGGGTTTAAAATGTGTAACCTTGAGAAAAGATTATTCATTCTTAATAATTAATCAAATTGGGTCAAGTGTGAGTGCTCAGCTGGTGCACACATGATACTCTGTCTTGCTAGCCTCTCTGCGTTGCTGGGGTGGACAGACTAGATTAAACTAAACAAACATTGATAAATCTACATAAGCGACTGGCTTTCAGACTATTTGATACAGATATCTCCTTGGCGTTATCGTAGTATAGAAGCTCCTTGGGATATATATACGTATCCAGTACATGTTTTGCATTTCGTGGTGCCATATCCCTATATCGCATAATGTCTCAAGGACAGCCTTTTCCTCTAACAGAGGAAAGTATTTTTACACATTTCTCCCAAGAAGACCGCGAGTTGCTGTTGTCGGATACCCTCACCGGCCGCTGGTGGTATGAAGGATTTACCTTATTATTGAGGTGCTTTCGTGAAGACAAAAATTTAACTTCGGCAGGGAGACAGCGGGTTGAAGCTCGCTTGGTTGATGTCCTTAAAAACCGACTAGCGATTTCAAGACGACTGCGGTCAGTTGACTTAAGTAAGGTTAGTATGTGTAGGCTAAAGGGTGTCCCTCGATCTCGTTTCAAACCATTTCCATAATTAACAGTGTATATACTTATTAAATGTACGTAAATATAGAAGACCGTTAATCACACTTAATGTGCTAATTTTTCTTAAGTCGTCAGTAAAAAGCATAAGTTTGTGTCCACGTGGAACAATTTATACATTCTAAACAATAGGAAAACCAGTATTGCCGGTAATAAGGCTAATTTGACCTTGATCTTTTGCAATAGTTTACGATAGTTCAAGGTCACAAGAGAGGACGCGGATGCGTCCATTTGACTGCTCCATTTCTCTGGCCAACTCACTTGTTCTTTTCATTTGAGTATTTGGGACTTTTATAGAGCCGTGTACCGTTAGAGCGTGACATGCCAAATGATAGAAAACGGTATACACAGNTTTTAACTTGTAGTGTCAATTGTTGTTCATGAATAATTTTACATGTGAATATTATATTCTAAAAGAAATGTAGAGAAATTACTTTACATTATTTACTATTTTCAATTTTATTATTTATTTCACAACTTGTGCATTATGTGCTGATGAAAATGTACCTGTAATACGTTATTTATACAAGGGTATCACATTGAACACAATAATTGAACACATTGCTTTTCAATTACAAAACACTAACGAATATATGATTACAGTTTGAAACGGTACACAAATAATCTTAATCTGGATCAGTACTTTTATATCTACATACTGTATATGTGAAATATTAATGTTTGTTTGAAAAGTTTTAAAATATATCCCCTGGTTGCTGGTGTTGAGGTGGAAAAAATGTGCGCAGCGTGGACACTTCCAGGCCACTGGGAGACAATATTTGTAAATCTACCTGAAAAAAGAAAAGAAATGAATATAGAGAATAATGTGAAAAGGGGAATGGGGAGGGGGAGACAATAATTAAAACAATAATAATGGTGAAAGCATATCATTTAAGCAACATTTTCATTTTTTTTCAAAATAGTCAAATGTTCAATTTGCATCTATGAGATAGAATATGATAAGGTGATGAAAATAAAATTTAATTAATATATTAGCATTTAATTCCGTCATGTTAGTCTTTATTTACTTTGCAGTTAAAAGGGGCCTACTTTTTAATAACCAAATAAAAAGAAAACAAAGTAATTAACACATTCCCAAAGTTTTAAAATGGTAATAAACTTTTAATTTAGTAATTACGTGGTTCTGCAATGATTTCGTTATTTATTAAGAAAGTGATTATAGTCTATTAAGGCAGAATGCATTAGCTGTACCTGCATAAACATTGCTTGCACATTCAGTCACACTGAAGAAGCCAAGGTCATGGCCGCAAAAATGGCCGACTTACAAAGTTGAACCACGAACGCTGCAGATGTTGGACGTGTTATTTACGGTGAGCTCTTAATATTTATGCCTTGAATATGTAATAAAGATCAATACCTTTGTGGTCACATATAGCCTGAGCATTCAAACTGTGGTAATTCTTTCTGTTCACTAATGCAGTCTTATTCAACGTGGGCGCCGTTATCCTAATGTGAGTACCGTCCACACATCCACAGGCATAAAAACGCAAAGCAATGAGAACTTGTTCCCTCACCGAGAGAGAACAGCTCCTGCCAGTCGCAGGCTGCAGTTTCTCTTCCAACATTCTCTCTATCAAATTAATGCCTTCTCTGCCAAAACGAAACCTTGCACGCAGTTCAGAGTCACTATAGCTGTCCAAGTCAAATACTTCTCTTCGAAAATTCCTCTCTCTCCTCTGTCTAGGTGGATTATACTGCTGAGGGTTCCTGTGGAACCTCAGCAGGTACCACAGCACAAAAAGTCAATTTTCAGCTCTTTTACTCTTCAGGAAATGGGTCTGAATATTCTCTTTACAAGCCTTTTCAACGGTGTAAAGCTCTACCGGAAAGGTCAGGGTCTACGGGTTTACTACCCTTTTATGCCTAAGCTTAAAATTGTAGTTGCACTATTACTACGTCTTTCCGATCAAGTATAGGCGTCTAAAAACAACCTCTTTACAACTCCTTTCCGATCAAATATAGGCGATTTTTGACACGTCTTTATAACCCTTTTCCGATCAAATAAAGGCAATTTTAGGTAAGTCTTCACAACCCTTATCTAATCAAATATGGACGATTATAGTTATTTCAATTACTTATAGCACTGATAATGCTTCAAATTCATGTAGCATTTCATTTAATGAGAGGAAGGCTTGTGAATTTTCATTTATAGTATTTTATTGCAAAAAACAACAATAACCATTACAATGCAGTGGGGATTATGTTTATAAAGCGCAACACGGCTATTATATTTCACAAGTGGAAAGTAATCTTACACTAATGTATTATTTTGTACACTCATTATACGCACACCCTAAACAATAGCGAATATCATTAAAAAATTTACCTAGTAAAATAATTACGCAAATAAATACGAACCACATTTAAATACGACTTTCCAGAACAAAATCTAAGCAAAAGTACAATTATAGGAACGTCACAGATTCATAAATAGTGAGGCTTTTTCCATTATTTATCTGACATCTGGTAAACATATGAGGAAAACGAAAACGACTACTACTTATCCATCGACTTAATGTATTTGCAGAGAGTGGCCACCCGTTAAATAACATGCCAATTATGTGTGCCCTAATTGCCCGACCCCGTTTTAAGAATTACACTCATTAGGTATTTTTGTTCACATTGAGTAAGGCGATGAAGCCTAGCTTCCAAGGAAAGATGAAGTATTGTCACCAAAACCCCTACAAAATGCGTAGGCTAAAGAAATAAAATAACATTAAAAATACGGGAAAATTAAAAAGAAGAGAAACGCAACACATTATGTACCTGAAATATCCGACTAACTTAAAGTATTTAATCAAAATCAAATAAATGCTGCTCAAATTCTAAGAGAAAAATTTACTTTCAGAAAAAATCTTTAGAAAATACAGCTAATTATTTCTTGAAGTGTGTGAAACGTTCATGTTATTTAGCGTGATTCGTGAAGCACCCCATTCACGCGACTTGTGAATGCAATTGTTTATTCTCCGCCCTTCGTGAAACGAAGACATTATACCCGGTGATACGTGATTTTCAGGATATTTTTAAAATGCCTACTATCAGTGAGATAATAATGCACTGTAATTTGTGTATTGATGATTTAGCTTCCCGCGTACTGTGGTCATTCCCCTCCCCAATTGGACTTTCAAGACTGGGCCTGAATTATTACATATCAGTTTACTTGGGATCACAGCAAAATAATATACAAATATATGTTCAAATATAAGAAGTACTGATCTCATTGTAATAACAATATATATAAAAACAGTAAGTAAAAATCAATCACCGTAAAGGAGATATATTAACATTTTTCATGTTGAATACTGTGATATTATCTAATCTACAACTTTGGACTCTAATCGTCTTGCGTGTAAATTATTTTCCACACATCAAATCGCCCTTGCGTGTAAATTATTTTCCACACATCAATTTGAGCACTTCTTTAGCCTGGCAGACCTCCGCGTCAGATATTTCTGCCGTTGCCCCTTTCAACGTCTTCCCTTTGTTCTGTGCTGCTATCGCCCTTTCCTTTTTTCCAGTGCGGTGTCCTTCTTAACGGTTTCTGTGAAGATTTAACGAAATGATATCAAAATATAATGTGTAATAACGTATTAAACATAACTGGGTAAAGGGAACAGAATGTCTGACTCAAAAAAATTCAGAGAAATATCAGGATTGAGAATTACAAGAATGCATGTAGCCTACCATTACAACAGACATGGAGAATGTAATAAAATCAAAGACTTGGTAATTTATCAACACACATTGATAATCAATTATTAAAAATAAAAATACATGAATATTATGAAAATAACAAAAGGAATAAAAACACTTACTGTCTTCATCCTCTCGTTTTTCCTGTACATATACTCTGTACTCTGTCTCTGTGGCTATCTTCACACCACACCACATCCTCCCCTTTGTAGTTGCGATTTAATATTCGTTGTTTAGGGGTGGTCGGCTCATGTCTTAGTTAAACCTAAGATCTAATCTGTTTATTAGATCTTAGGTTAAACTAACTCTTATCAAAATAACACGATCCAGGACTGGGCCTCTGGGGACGTGTGTTTTGACAGCGCCCCTGGTTAAAAGCTTTGAGATTGTTTTTAAATTTGGGACGTTAGAGTTTAGATTGAAGTATAAAAGTCCCTTAGATGCGTTATCACGTGTTTGTGAAGAGATGACAACGGTGATAGAACGTGTCCGTCTTATACTTCTGATTCGAATTATGTTAGATAACTATTTATTGCCGCATTCAATATTATCGGCTGTTGTTTCACTTCAGTATGATGTGAGAGAGGTGTCTGGCCTCTGTATGTGTTTGACCTGAAGGGCCGACTGTACGAGATACACACAGTGCGGCTGGGGAAACGAAAAAAAGGGGGGTTGGACTGGTTGCAGAAAGCGCTTTTCGGTCAACAAGTGACCTTCATCAGCTGCAGAGTCCTGAAAAAAAGAGGGGGGGGGACTGTGCTTAAACAAAGAAGTGAGAAACCAAAACACTTGGTTTAAGCCTTCATCACCGCGGTTGGAGAGAGGTTACATAAAAGATTAAATAGCTTATTGGACACCATGCTGCTTGTTATACTGACCTCAGCTCATGAGTCATCTCNAAATAGCTTATTGGCCACCATGCTGCTTGTTATACTGACCTCAGCTCATGAGTCATCTCTCGACCATCGTGTTTCAATGGTACTTCGTGTGAAAACTGTGTTAATTACTGGTAGCAATCCCCATACAAATACAACCGAATCCGGCTGTCATCTAAAGCAGGCCTGTCCTTGTCTGTCAAAGCCCAGAACTTATAAACAAAATAGCCGGCGATTTACTTATTTTCATGTGAAAAATGAATTTCTATGAAGAAATCAGTATATTGCGATATGATACATTTTCATTAGCAGAAACCGTGTAAAAGTGATACACGATGTACGTTTAATGTGCAGTGATTTTTCACTTACGTGGTTTAACCACCCCCTTCTCTTCGTCACCCACTATGAGCAAGATATCATCATCAAATAGAAAAGTACTCCTGTTATATACGTATTACGGCACATCATACTGATAATGTTTGCTATATATCAACATATTTATCGCTGCTTAACTTTGCAAATAACAATGGTCTTATAGTTATTCAGTTTTTCAAGCAAGGTTTTTTATGACAGCTAGTTTAGAACTAATGGTTTACTTATGGTTCTAGACATGGCCTATCGAGCGAAATCTTATCGTGGGATGTACTACGATCAGTTGTGGGGCAATACTTATTCAT